GTTTAGAGCGGGAAAAGCTGAGAAACCAGTTGGAAAGTCAGAGTTTAGGCACAATTTGTTTGTTCAGTCGCTAAGTTGTGTCTGACTCTTTGCAACCTCATGGACAGCAGCGCCTCAGGCACCATTTATTAAATAGCAGATACTTTTGGTACCGAGTTGTCTAAAATGTATATATCCATGCCAATACTACTCTATTGTTGCTGTTGTTAAGTCACTAAGTTGTGTCCAACTCTTTGCGACTCCATGGACTATAGCACATCAGGCTTCCCTGTCCTTCACTGTCCCCTGGAGTTTTCTCAAGCTCATGTCCATGGAGTCAGTGATGCTATCTAACGATCTCATCCTCTGCCACCCACTTCTCCTCCTGCCCTCAGTCTTTCCCAACATCAGGGTCATTTCCATTGAGTCAGCTCTTCGTGTCAATTGGCCAAAATATTGGAGCTTCAGCTTCAGCATCAGTCTTTCCAATTCATTAGTAGTAATACTATGCTATTAGTATTTGGTATTAATTACTACAGCTTTTTAATAAATGTTGATATATACTAGGGCCTGTCCTTCTACCTTGTTATTCTTGGGTCTTTGCTCTTCCATATAAAATTTAGGATCTACTTAACAACTTCTGAGAAAAACCACGAGCAGTTTTGTCTTGAGTTTTATTGAACTTACAGAATTAGGGGAGAATAGTTATCTTTAAAATAGCTGTTCTTCCTGACTAATTTACTCAGACATACTGTTTGTCTTTCAGTAATATCTGGTAGTTCTAAAGTACTCAACAAATTCTGATAGATGGCACCACCTCCCTACCTCCCCAGACCCTATAAGTCCCTTATAGATTTTATCATGAAAGAGATTATGTTTATTACATTTCCTAATTTTCTATTATTGTTGTACAGGAATGCACCTGATTTTGTACATTGATCTTGTAGCCATAACCTTGAACTCCTTTATTAAATGTAGATTTTTAAAAATACAAACACATCTGACAATAAAGTTTTTATTCCGATTTTTAATTCATCTTATTTATTGAATTAACTCCAGCAAAATAGAGGATACCCTTGTGTTATTTTTAAGGAGTGCTTCTAAAATTTCACCATTAAATGGTATGATTTATATAGTTTTTTATAGGTGAGACACAATTTACTAACAGAACCTGCTTTTGTTTGGGTGTAGCAATATGTCTTGCTAAAAATTACATTTCCAGGTTCCCTTTAATATGAGGAAGCCACGTGACAGTTTGGCCAATGAGATGGAAGTGGAAATTGTTACGTAGGGCTTCCAGGAAAGCTCCTTAAGGTGGGACAGACTCATTGCCCTTTTATCCCTGTCACTTCCTTGTCTTCCTACCTGGAACTCAAGTGTAAGGCTGGACGTGGAAAAGCCCATCCATCTTGTAACCAGAAGCTGGTCATGTGAGGCCAAGAAAATTAGACTGTGAACCCATCTTTGAACCACTGAGCTAACGCTAACCAATGAAATTCATGTTTCATGGGAAAACTAGAACTGATTTTTTTAAAGAGACAGATTGGGTTTCTGTAACTCACAGCTGAAATGAAATTCTGAAGTGATGCTAAAAAGTAGGGTGCTGAAATAAAACCCAATATACAGAACTGACTTCATGTTTAAGGGAGGGACTTTGAGGAATATGGACACGTATCATAGAATGGAAAGATGGTGACTTGTTTGGAGATGATAAAATACTTGGTCAACTTTGACAGTTTGATACTGGAGAGTAGACCAAATGCTGCTATAGCTATAGCATTAGGGGAAATGTTAGGAGAAAAACTGAAAATGTTGACAAGGGATGGCTCTTTCTTGCTGTGTTCAGCAAAGTCCTATCAGAGAGAAATGTAGTTTTTCTCTATTGAGGCAAATACCTCAGAGACGGAGGAAAATATCACCTCAATAAAGAAAGAAGTTTCTGACATTTTTTAAAAAAATGTGATATAGGTCATTCATGAACAAGAGTGTATAAAATATATATGTACAATGTAAATGATATTTTAAAAGTAAACATCCACAGAGTCACCACCCAAGACAATAGAACACTGACAGCATTTTGGCAGCTCCATGTGCATTCCTCAGTCACATTCCCTTTTCTCCCCACAGCAGGTCATTATTCTATCTTGGGGGCAATAATGTACATACTTCTCTGTATAATTTCATTTATATGACTACATTCTTAAACCGATATACACTGTTTTGAACTATATGCATGGAATCTTGCCGATGGCATCCTTCTATGATTTGCTTGTTGCTCCACATTACGTTTGTGATATTCATCCACCTCCTGATTACCTATTCCTTCATTTTCACTAATGTGTAGAATTATACTGTTTGAATATACATGAAAATACAATGATAGGATTTAGTCTTTCTACCAATGTTGACTATTTGGCTTATTTCCATATTTTTTGGTTATTACTGTGCTGCTATATGTAACCTTGCAAATGCTTCCTAAAAACATGTTCAATAGTTATCCCAAGGCATTGTATCAGTTATGGTCCTGGCAGAAAAAAAAAAAAACCCTTGTATTTTGAGATGAGTTTTAAGAAAGGGACCATTTACGAAAGTGTGGGCTGGTTGTGTGTGCTGTGCTAAGTCGCTTCAGTCGTGTCTGACTCTTTGTGACCCTAGGGACTAGACCCAGGCTCCTCTGTCCATGGGATTTTTCCAGCAAGAGTACTGGGGTGGGTTGCCATTCCCTTCTCCAGGGGGTCTTCCCGACACAGGGATTGAACCTGGGTCTCCCACATTGCAGGTGGACACTTTACCCTCTAAGCCACCAGGGAAGCCCATAATGAATTAATTAATAATTATAAATAAAATGAATTAGTTAATATAAAGAATTAAATAACTTTTTTAAGGAGTTCATATTGCTCCACATCATCACCAAAACAATATCATTAGATCCTTTCATTCTTATGAATCTGGGAGAGATGTTATAATATCTCTTTGAGGTTTTTTTTTCCCCATTTCCCTATTACTAAAATGACTGAGGATGTTTTCATGTTTCTTAGACATCTGGATTTCTATGGAAAGTGCCGTTTAAAGACTTTTGACCAAATTTCTATTGGTTGTCTTTTTCTTACTGATTCTTAGGAATCATTTGTGTATTCTGGATTATATACATTCTAGATACTAGTATTCTGTAAACTATATGTGTTGCAAATGTGTTCTCCCAAGTGGCTCCCTATATTGTCACCCTCTACATAGGTAAGATTATAGGTGCTTAATCTTTGTGGTTTTGCTGTGTGTTTTTTTTTTTTTGCTGTGTTTTTTTAATGTCCCCCAAACAAAAGCATAATAAAATGAGTTGGATTATTAGATAAAACAGAAAAGGATGTGGAGAAAATTCTGGGCAAAGAAAATAAGACTGAAAATAACATAGGCAGGAAAAGAGTGGAAAAGTAAGGAAACCACTTCTATTGGCTAAAAAATTAAACATTTAAACTTTCATTTTAAATTTTTATTAAATATTACTAAATGATAACATTTCATTAAATGAATAATCTAAATGAAAATAATTTAGTATTTACTCTAATGTTGAAAAATCAATAAAAATAAACCTAAAACAAAATAGAAAAGAATATGGTATTATTTATTTTTCAATACATTAAATCAGTGCTTCACTGAACTTAATTTTCAGAGAATTAATGTAAGTAAATCATATGATCAAGAATCGCAGTTCTATAACGAGATATTTATCATAGCATATAATAATATTAGGCATGAAATTGGTATTCTGATAAACTCTAAGCCTAATTTTAAACTAGCTAGTTATTTAAAGTCAAATTACCATTTTGGTGAAAGGTTGTGTGAGATCCTAATTTACACTATTCTTAAAACATTATGTCTTTATACAATTAGGTAATAAGCTATAAAATATGAAAAGAAGAAACAAAAATATGAGAATAAAAGATTCGGTTCCTTAAAGCAGTAACAGACAATGGGTCCCATTTTCATGTTTCAATTAAATAATTGTTTTGTTTTGTTTTTCATAAAAACTCTTGATACCATGAAAGCATTTGGAGCAACTACTTAAGCTAACGATTGTTAAGCTGTCTTCTTTCATGAATATTAATAAAAACATGATAGAAATAAAACTAAAGATAAATGAGGTGTTTTATTATTTTTTTTTAAATGAGGTGTTTTAAAACATATTAATCTTTTGAACTGCACATTCTTCTCTAGAAGATCATGATAAAAATAGAGTGTACAATTTGTTCTTTTTTTCAAAGATCTGTGTAAAGTACAAATACAACTGACAAGAAATGAAATATTGCCATCTAAAAGTCCTAAATAAGAAAATAATGACCTTGAATCTTAAATATTTTTTAAAGTGAATAAGTGCTTATTCATTAGATAAAGAAATTTTAAATAAAAAAATAAAATGAATAATCATATTTTAAACAAAAGTTCTTTTAACACAGAAAATAATGTTGTGATATTATTTTCCTGAAGGTAACAAAAGCACACAGGCTAATTCTGCTAAGCTAATACTCTTCATAGAACTTATGATAAATATTAGTAACGAATTCTCATGAGGTATCTGAAGATACTAGGACCTAAAATGTAATTATTCAAAGTTGTAGAAGATACTAAGATCAAGCAGAGCATCCAGTGCCAACAAAGTGGCTAAGTGCTAAAAAATTCTTATGCTATGATAGTTTTATCTGAACCTATGAAAGCCCTTATAAATGTATGTTTTTATATTCACTATAAAACATAACAAAGAAATCACTTCCTGATCTCATTCCCAACTTTTCATTTTAAAATTATCTCTAACAGAATTATCTAACTGAAGTATAACTGAAAGTGAAATTCTCATTGTTATCAAAAGACGTATACAGAAGTAAATTAGTATATATCCCAAATTTATACAAAGGGATTATTGTACTGGCCTTTCACTAGATGAACCTGTAAGCTTGAAACAGGGAAGAATACATTCAGTTATTATAAAATAACAAGTTTCAATCAAAAATTGATAAAATGTTCAACATTCATTTAAAAAATACATCAAGAGTGTGTCTTGGATTGTTTGGTCTTGTTTTCTTTGATGCTGAGTACTTTGTCATCAATCCTGGCCTGGAATGAAACAGAACATTGTAATGAAAATGCACGAAGAAGAATAATAACAACAACAGAAAAGCACAAAATTAAATGCACGAAGAGATTTTAAAAATTGTTTATGCAAATAATTGATTTTAAAATTTTTACTTTTTATAAAAGCACATTTTAACATTTCCTAAAAATCAGGCCTCAAAATATAACAGTTTCATAGCCAGCTTTATTAAAACTCAAATTAGCCATACCTTTTTGCTTTGTTCCCAGTCTTCTGCACTTTGCCTAAGTTATCTTTAGAGGGAAGATAATGCATAATGAATAACATGAAATAGTAAAAACAGTTTCTAAAGATTTAAAAAGTTAAAGTTAACAGATTAAAGATAATAAAAATCTCTTTAGGGCTACATATTTCGAATTTATAAATAATTTCTTTGTAATTTACTTATTTCATTAGTATTGCAGCTAACTTGGAAGCTGGGTTAGAGTCAGAACTACCAAAAAACAAGTTAAAGAGGCTTTCTGGCTATATAATTATAGCTAATTTACCACTGTGCCTTGGCAAATGTTCTCTGAAGGAATTTCTTTTTTGGATTAGATCACTCAGTTCCCTAAACCTTTGAGTTCACTCTGTGCTAAGTCAAGCCTAAACCAAAGATTTCCCAAAATTTCAAATCTAATGGCTTCTGCTAATTCTAACCCATGGTAAGGTAACTAACATTTTCCTAAGTGGCAGCATACACAAACTATCCCTTTAAAAGTATATGTTTTAGATTTAATAGCAATCTGAATTTTAATAAAACATTCCTAGAAAATCAAACTCTTTAAAAAAACCATAAACTCACCAGTACTTTTGGTGCTTTCTTTGGGTTGGTTACATGGATTAATCTTATCCTCTCTCAGTTCCTGGATAATGCCTTTATTTAAGCAAACATCTACATGCACATTGAATAGGGTAAGATCTGAAGTCTTTTGTTCTAGGTTACAAACAGGACAAACTAGAACTTGGTCACTGATTACTTCATATAAATTAGGTTGGGGGGATTCTTGCCTTCTTAATGACCCAACATCTTCATTTTCCAGTGAAACGGTACAAGAATTCTGAGGACAGTGTTCCATATTAAATGATTTGCTTGAAGGACCAGAACATTCCTCTTCGCTCAGCTTATTACTTAAAACCCCTATATCATCTGTATTTGATGGTTTACCAGTAGTCTCTACCAGCTCTACAGGATCTACTGACATGATCTCTGTATTCTTCTGGTGGGTTTCATAACCTCGCTTCTCACAGAGAGAAACAGAACCATATACATTTTCTTTCTCGTTCACTTCTGCAGAGGAAGCGTGTGAACATGAGGACATTTTGGGGTTTCCACTGATGGAAGGTCCATCAAGACATGCATCTACATGTTTATTAAAGGCTTCTAGACTGATGCTTCCTTGCTCCCTAAAGCAAACTGGACAGGTAAATGTCTGACAGTTATGTGATTTCTCCACCACTTCTAAATTCTCACTCATCTTCTTGTTTAAAACTTGGAATGACTGTGATGTTTGCAAACTTTGTTTATTTACGGTTTCACATGTAAATGTGTCTTGGGGGCTCGCTTTCCTTTCAGATCGTTTTTTATCAAAGAAACTCTTCTTATGAGACGTTTGTGCAGGTTTTAGAAACTGATCTTTGTCAGTTTTCTCTAGTATACAACTGGTGGCTGAAAGGGCTTGGTTTCCAGGCTGTAAGAAGCCAATAATGCTCCTTTGCTGGTGTTTCTTCTCCTCTTCATTGGGAAAACCAGAGAGCCGCACCCCTAAATTAAACCAACCATAATTAATCCATTTCCAATTCAACAAAACCAACTCAACTGTAAAGCATAAAGACATTTTGTGTAACAGTATTGTGACACTTAGTTGAGTAGAAAGTACAGAGTTCTCATATATACCCTGTGTCCACACATGCACAAACTCCTCCATGATCAACATCCTTCACCAGAGTGGAATAGCTGTTAGAACCAATGAACCTACACTGACATGACTATTATTCATAGTCCATAGTTTACATCACGGTTCACTCTTGGTGTTGTACAGTCTATGGATTTTAACAAAGGTATAATGACATGTATCCACCATTATAACATCATACAGAATAGTTTCTCTGCCCTAGAAATCTTTTGTGCTCTGCCTATTCCTCCAACCACTGATCTTTTCAGATCTCTACCATTTTGCTTTATCCAGAATGTCCTATATTGGAATCATATAGTATTGTAGCCTTTTCACATTGGTTCTTTAAAAATATACATTTAAGTTTCCTCCATGTCTTTTCATCATTTGACAGCTCATTACCTTTCTTTTCTTCTCCCCCATCCTCTATCCCAATAGATCATTTCTTTTATGTGCTGAATAGTATTTTGTTGTCTGGATGTACCACAATCTCCATTCACCTACTATTGGAAGACATCTTGGTTGCTTCCAAGTTTTGGTAATTATAAATAAAGCTGCTATTAACATCTACTCTTTAGCTCTTTTAGCTAATATACTATATTCAAACTGACTTCCATGTGTACTATTTTTCATATGTGAAAGTACGGCTGATGACCCCCATTCTTAGCAGTAAAGTTGGCATCTGGAGTGCTTATCCCTAAACATTCTCTCACTTGTTCACTTTGGAAACATGGTTTGTTTGTCTTTTTTACCCCATGATGGCTAGAAATGTGGTTTTATACTGCCACAATCCTTTATCTGTAATTCTGAAACCTAAAAGCTCTGAAAATTGTAAGCAACAAATGGTAACTGATGACAAGATTGATGTGAAGCTATTTAGAGTCTTTACAACTCAGTGTGAATATTGTTTGTTTTGCTACAGAAATAATAAAATGTTTGATCATAAAGTGCTGCCTCAGATCCCAAAAGAGTATTACACAATATACTCAACATGTACTGAATTTGTTTTCTAAAATTTGAAGTTTAAAATTTTGAAAAATACCTAACCCCAAGGATTTCAGTAAGTATTGAAGGAAAAGAATGACTTTAACTGATTCTTACTAGAATTAAACTAGTGATCATGGCTTCACATGCATCAGGTTCTAAGTATCAAGAAAAATGAAAGTAGAAGAAATACAACTCCCTGAATGGGTCTAAGAAATAAAATGGAGGTGAGACTATTTCTCAAATTGACTCTCTGGAAATGTCTTGCAGATTTTAAGGAAAAACAGTAAAAGTTATACCCATAAGTCTTAATCTCAAAGGATGTGGGAAATCCGCATCAATTTCTGTTCTTAGCAGTTCTTTAGCAATAACAAATATTTCTTCTGCAGTTGAAACAACAGCTGAAACTGTAGAGGCACGAGTTTTTACTTCAAAGTTCACATTCTTTAGCTTAATGGTAACAGTTCTACCCTGTAACAAACAGAATACATTATTTTATATAGCTCTTTAACATCTAGAAAAAAAGTTTTTTACATGTTAGAAAAATTCAGGAAAGTCTCTTATGTACAGAAAGTATGGAAGTATAATCAATTATTTATAAAACACGGTAATGAATATTGTCATAAAGAATAAGTAAAATCTATAAGCAATCTAAAAATCTGATTTTAATCAGTAATTATTACTTTCCTCCCCAACTGATTTTTTATGAAAGACTTTTATATAAAGGGCAAAGTTAACTGGTCATTTCTGTTAACTTTATTCTGTACTGTAGAAATGTACACTATGATAACATAAGATGTTAATAATGAGGGAAACTGTATACTGGAATTCTCTATATTTTCTTTGTAACTATTTTATAAATCCAAAATAATTCTAAAATTAAGTTTATTTAAAGTTATTTTAAAAAGAACTCTCTTTATATTTAAGGTATAATAGAGAAGGATTATAAGAAAATATTCATCAGATGGCCCTTTCTTTGTAACAACTTTTTAATGCTTTTGTATTACACTTTGTAATAACTCCACCTCTGTTTTGAGAGTGTTGGAAAAACACTAAACAGAGGCTATTGTGAGTGAAGATTATAAAACACAAAGCTCAAAGGCTTCCAGGTTTTGTTCTCAATGTATTAAGCAACCTGGATTAAAGCCTTAAAACAAAATGCCTATTCCACAAGCTCACTGTCTATCTGACCATTACATTAAAGGATAACTGGGAAGGCATTTAAAACAGTACAGTTTTAGAGAAATCCTTCTCTTTGCCTTATTGTTTACTGCAAATATAACCCTGATTTTGAACTTATTCAAATGTACTCCCAATGTAAAATAACTCCTCTGGAAATATATTGGAGTCACTCCAGCCTCATAAGTTGCTCCTCATAAAATGACCTCATCACAGGCTTCAGATAAGGGTCAGAATTCAACTTGTCTCTACTGAAGATAAGAACTCTTTTGATATATCCCAATTTGTTTTTAAATGCAAAATCTAACTCTCAGTTTAAGGTTGCTTTTTATTATTAAAAATTTAGAAAACTTAGAATACCACATAAAAATAAAGTACCTTAAGTCCTTCTTTCTGCAGATCTTGAGCAAGTTCACTGCAAAGTTCTTGGCACAAGCTGTACTGTTCTTCTGCTTTACTTATCTCACTGAATGTCCTACGAAGACAAGAACGACTTGAGTGCACAAAGTCAACTATACTTCAGGATAATTTAGAAATGATACAGTCCATGCAAATGGCCTAGCATTAAGGTATATTTTCTATAGTACTGAATAAAGTTTCCAGATGTACTAAGATATAATTAAGTAACAACATTCAAGATCTTCCTAAATATTGGGAGATTATTTATAGCTAAACTGATTAGCAAAGGTACATTTGTTCTCTATAATATTTTTTAAAAGATGATTAAACTCACCAACATATAAGGATAATGCCCCAAGAACTTACAAAACATTAGGATATATAGGTATACAGACTCTGTTACAGAGCACTGTCTTAAGAAAGTACAGATGAGAACATCACTCCAATTATTGCATGAATATTGTCTGGAAGAGAATTATTCTCAAGTAGGTTTACGGGATTGGTTCACGGCCCCTATATGAAGTTGTTTAATAGACAATTGGAAATGGGCTGGTAAGATTAAATGTAGAACTTGTGAGTTCATTTGCACAAGGGTGTTGAAGGTCATATTAACAAAAAAGAGGAAGACACTAAAGAGAGAGCAGGGTAACCAGTAAAAAAAACCTTGAGCAAACCCTGAAGAGTCATTCAGTGAAAAGTGCCCCTTCTAACCCAGCTGCCCACAGCAACCCAGTTCTCCTCCCTAGCGGCAACCAACATGGCCAGCTTCCTATTTATTATTTATTCCTCTAGAATACTGTATGCATATAAAAAGTATGTTATACTTTTATAAATGAGCAAACACTTCCCCTATATAAATAGTAAAATATCAGACATTGTTTACCACTTTACTTTTCTCATTCATCCTGGTCAGTTCCCTGTAAGTAAATGATTTCCTCATTTTTATAAGGCAGCTGTGCTGTGCTGTGCTTAGTCACCCAGTCGTGTCCGACTCTTTGTGACCCCATGGACTGCAGCCAACCAGGCTCCTCTGTCCTTGGGGATTCTCCAGCCAAGAATACTGGAGTGGGTTGCCATGTCCTCCTCCAGGGGGTCTTCCTGACCCTGGGATCGAACCCAGGTTTCATGCATTGCAGGCGATTCTGTACCAGCTGAACCACCAGAGAAGCCCAAGAATACTGAAGAGGGTAGCCTATCCCTTTTCCAGGGGATCTTCCCGACCCAGGAATTGAACCGGTGTCTCCTGTATTGCAGGTGGATTCTTTACCAGCTGAGCTACCAGGGAAGCCCTTTATATGGCAGCATGATATCCTAATTTAAATACGTAAGATCATTTAACCAATCCTCTATTTGTAGATACTTAGGTTATTTCCAATCTTTTGCTATTATAAAAAAAATGCAATTCACAACTTTGTATACATGTAAAATGACATGTGATGACATCTGTGGAATAAAGAGAATAGTGGGATAAACAGAATAGTGGGATCAAAGTACATGTGTATCTGTATCTTGATAGACAAAATCGCTTGCTCCCTATGGTAGGCCAAATAATTGTCCCCAAAGATGTCTAAATCCTAATCTCTTAGAATCTAGTACATTACATGGTGAAAGGAGTTTTACACATGTGGCTAAACTAAAATGGGGGTGATGATCCTGGACTATCTAGGTAGGTTCAGTGTAATCTCTAGGTTCCTTATGAGGCAGGAGGGTGAGTCTAAGAAAGACAAAATGTGGGATCTGAAGATGGAGAACGGCGTGTGAGCCAAAGAATGCAAGTGGTCTCTAGGAGTTTTTAGTAAGGAAATGGACTCTGCTCTGGAGCCTCTAGAGGGAAGGTAACCCTGCTGACACTTTAACTTTAGGACTTCTGACCTTCAGAACCACTAATTAGAAACTAGCACACTCTCCTTTAGAGTTTAATACCTTTTTCACTCACATAGTTTTGCCAATGGTGTGTGTATCTTTGCCAACTTGATTAATGAAAAATGCTATCTCAGAGAATTTTTAATCTGTATTTCTTAAATAAGAGACTGGGATTATTTTCACATGTTTGTAAAGCCATTTGTACCTTCTCTTCCGTTAACTAATTGGATCTCTGTTCATTTTTTCCTATTGGTTTGCTGGTCCTTTCTTAAGAAATAGTAATATTAGTTAATATTCTTGTACAGCAAGCAATGTTCTCAATAACAAAAGAGAAGACAAAATAGGAGGGAAAAAATGATTAAATAGGAAACAGGACAATGCTATCTCACATTTGAATGCTTTTTCCCCTCTTTTCCTTTGGTTGCATGTGTGTGTGTGTATGCGCGTGCTAGGTAGCTTCAGGCATGTCTGTCCCCTAGTGACCCAATGGACTGGAGCCTGCCAGCTCCTTTGTCCATAGGATTCTCCAGGCAAGAATACTGGAGTGGGTTGCCATGCCTTCTTTCAGGGAATCTTCCCGATTCAGGAATTGAACTTGTATCTCTTATGTCCTGCATTGCAGGATGATTCTTTACCACTGAGCCACCAGGGGAGCCCTTTCCTTTGCTCTTATGTAAATCACAGCCTAAAACAGCAATTTTTATTAAGTCATTTACTGAGTGTGTTGTTTTAGAAAAGTTATTCAGTTTTTCTGATCACCAATAACATATGTGCAAAATGAACACAACCTCACAGTAGGTCCAAGGTTCTTTTGTTGTTGTTGTTGTGCCGTTGCTGTGTGCAGGCTTTCTCTAGTTGCAGCAAGTGGGGCTACTCCCTAGCTGTGGTGTGTGGGCTTCTCCCTGCGGTGGCTTCTCTGGCTGCGGAGCACGGGCTTCAGAAGCTGCAGCGCAGGTTCCACAGTTGCAGTGCGTGGGCTTAGGTGCACGTGGGGGATACTAGCTCCCCCGATGAGGGACTGAAGCCATGTCCCTGCTCTGGAGGCAGACCCTTAACCACTGGACCACCAGACAAGTCTCGGCCTGAGTCTTAAATGTCTCAGTGGAACTGTGGTTCCTTGGGGAACACAAGTGAGCAGCTGCTCAGACAATGACATATATCCCAAGATAATAAGGCTCCATCGAGATTTCAGCCGACTTCCAACCAGGATTGGAAGCCACTGAATGAGATGGCCTCTAAGGTCTCGTTCATCGGGATTTCAGCCAACTTCCAACCAGGATTGGAAGCCACTGAATGAGATGGCCTCTAAGGTCTCGTTCATCGGGATCTTACTATTTGGTCCCTTCAGTCATTTACCAGTATTTGAAGAACTTCAGGGAAAACTTCCATTATTGTATCTTAAATTAACTACTCAGTATTATTCTTCTTATAAACAAACCTAGACATTAAGACTTGGAATCCTAAAATTCTTGGTTTTCATTGAATAGGAACAAAACTAACATGAAAAAAAAATAGCTGCAGTTAAATTTTTTTTTCCCCATTGACAGCATAGCAAGCAAAGATAATAAAGCATTGTACTAGAATATTTACTTTAGGCGTGTCAACTGCTGAAAATTGTTATCTGGTCTACAAATAGATTTTTTAAGTTTCAGTGATATTTTATTAAAAATCAGTTAAAAATTATACAAATCATGAATAATTAGTAATAAAACATTACCTCTCAACACTCCTGCTTTTCCTCTCTCCATCCCTTGAAATGAAAAAAATAAAAAGATTTTTATTTGCTTTCCAAACAACACTGAGTTCCTTTTAGTCAACCAAAATGATTTAACATCAGCTACCCTTTAGAGATCTCAATAATACTTTGGATTAAAAGTTATACATCATTAAATACAGTGAGTTTTTTAATCTAAAAACTATCACCAAAGAATGTAGATAGATAAGCTAATATAACTACATGCATGATGGATCAAGTCTATATCTATCAAAGAACACATCTGAAAATAGGATATTATAAATTGTTTTTATTAAAAACCTGAATATCAAAACTCACAACTGATAAAATCAACAGAATGTGGTAGCATAATGGCTTTCAGTTATAAGATATACTTGAATTTTGAACAGTTTGATTATCTAGTTTTTGGCCTTGGACATATCAGTACTAGCCTATTTATTACCTATACCACTCTACAGAAGCTCAGTCAAAATGTGGTCTATGGCAACAGGATGATGACTGCGGATCTGAACCATCTAGTTAGGTTGGATTTTAGCTGCTCTGACAGGAGTAGTTAAAACCAAAAATCTGAAATGACATATAGATTATTCATTTTCCAAATATTTCATGAACCAATTATGAATCAAGCATTGTTCTAGGCCTTGGAGATACAATAATGAACAAAACAGACCAAGTGCCTGCCTTTAAGAAACTTCTATCTTGGTGGAGGCAGACAAACACAGAAATAAATAAAGAACAGATTAGAAAGTAAAAAGCACAAGAGATTAAAAAAATAAAGCTAATTAGGGAAATAGAGAATACAGAAAGGAAAGTAGGTTTGCTATTTTATATTTTAAAAAATTACCTATGAGTTTCACTTAAAAACATTACCTGCATCTCTACCACTGGTTAATATCTGGTTATGTTATATTAAAAACTATATTGTTTTCAAGCACTACGGAAATAAAAAGAGGGTAAATTTTGGAATAAGGAAGAAAGTTTTATTTTCCATCATCTTCAAATACTGGATTATCTATAGTACTGTGATGTCCTTCTCTTATCTTTCATTACACCCACTCAGGACCAAAGTCAGCTACCTGGATTCGAAAGAATGAGGAGCACAGAAAGATGAGAAAAGCAAGAGCATAGGCTTTGCAATCTCTGTAAGATTTAACAGATTTAACTGATTAAGCAAACATTTTATACGCCTCCTCAGTCATCTTTTAGTTTCAGTTCAGTTAGTCGTGTCTGACTCTTTGTGACCCCATGGACTGCAGCACGCCAGGCCTCCCTGTCCATCACCAACTCCCAGAGACTAGTCAAGCTCATGTCCATGGAGTCGGTGAGGCCATCCAACCATCTCATCCTCTGTCGTCCCCTTCTCCTCCCGCCTTCAGGGTCTTTTAGTTTAGTTTAGTGTAATTCTCATTCGTTTAGTGCCTTCTTTTCACCCGCCCTAAACAGCGTACCCTTCTGGCTCTGGGATTCCTTTTAAGACCAGGATGAAGCAGCAGGGAGAAAGCACAGGGCCTCTCTAGTTGTCTCCTCTTCTCCTGGGTCTCTGCCTGCTGGCCCCTTCAGGTCTCCACCACTGGAGGACTACAGCCGCCACCGCCTCTGACCCTCTCAGGTCAATCTCTAGGCCCCTACTCTGCCTTACTTTCTTCACTTGGTGACTTTCTTTTTCCCACACTACTCTGCAAACTTTATGAAGGCAGCATTTCATCTTGTTTATTGCCATTATCCCCAGTGCCTAGAATGGTGCCTAACTCAATGTACTCAGTAGAAGAGGAGAAATGCAGGTAGTTCATGAAGGATTTCAAAGAATCCCTACATCTGTTTGCTTAAAGAGTGAGTTCTAGAGCATAAGCCATCTTTCTTTCCTCAACATTCCAACCACCAGTATTCTTATGTTCTGAACAAAGAAAAAGGCAGGTTCAGAAAAGAAAGCACCCATCGTTCCTCTTACCCACCTATCCAGTTGCAGGGGCCAACAACCTAGGAGGGATTCTTTGTTCATCATTTCCTTTTCTCTCATATCCAATCTTTTGACTCTAATTCAAAAATTATATTCTGAGCTGAGCTAGCCTAAAAGAATTTAAAACATGTTATCCTTCTAGCCTCTATCTCAATGTGAAAACTGTTATTTCAGCAGACGATAAAGAAAAAGCAGAATGATTATAGATACAGATACCTTGCCAGGTGTGTTGAACCTAGACCAAGGGAAATATGAAGGAAATGATGCCAAGATGTTTCAGAGAAAAGGAGAGAAAGTAATGCCCTCTGTTGGTATAGTTCTGTACAAGTAATAATTCCAAGGGCCTTTAACATTTTCTCTGTAACTTTTCCTATTCCAGAAACCTAGAAGAGAATCAACATTTATCATTAACACATTTTAAAATTAAGGTAAGAACTGATATTATAATCTCATCATACCTTTTATAACTCATAAAAGGTATAAATAATGTCCTAGTTTTAAAAGTCATGGAAGAAAATGACTTTAAATAATTTTTGGCCATATTTCCTAAACTAGTGTTGCATGGGAATTTAAAACTTTAAATTCCATGGAGTTTTAAAAAAGCATTTATAAAAGAGTTCTGTGGTCATATAAACTCAGGGAATGGTAGAATAAATGACTTCTTATTCTCTTTTCGTTTTTTTAAATCAAAGTTATGGTTGACATACACCATTAGTTTCAGGTGTACAACACAGTGATTTGACATTTATATGCATTACAAATCAATCACCACAGTAAGTCTAGTAACCATCTGTCCCCATAGAAAGTTATAATATTATTGACTATAGACTCTAGGCTATTCATTACATGACTTTTTCTTTTTTAAATAACTCCAAGTTTGTACTTCTTAATCCTCTTTAACTATTGCTTCAGAAATCAGAGGGTATATATAGAGGATAAATTTCATATAAAATCTCACCTTTCTAATGGGTAAGTCCTTGATGAAGTCCATTACAGCTTGCCTGTTAGGTAGAATTTGGTATTGTCCATTTGGTTTATTCTTATCACTGCATACTTTTGCTAACATCGTATTGGGTGCAATGCCTTTAAAGAAGAACACTCCCGATGACTCAAAGAACATGATGTATATAATTTTAAAACATGTGATAACAATACATAAAAAAATTAAATACAAAATCTGAAATTATGTGGAAAGCCACTTTAAAAATAACATTTGATTATTCTCTATCTCCCCAAGGCTTGCTATGGTTTCAGGAAAAGAAACTGTATTAATTATTGTGGCAGCAGAAATGAGGAATATTTAAATCTCACTGGTATTTTAAAGTTTAATTTTTGAGTTAAAGTGATAATATTAGTTTCCTACTATATTTAGTAGGAATATAGTCTGTCTTATAGAAAAGATTGAGAATATAATTTAGGATGAAACCTTTCTCTTTGAAAAGATCTTTCGTATAGATTACCCACATAAAGGAAAAAAAAAATCAGATTCTGGTTTCTAGTATATTTAAAACAATGATAATGAAATGTGTACATACTTTATATGCACACAAAGCAAATTACCACCACTTATCAGAGAGGTGTTTTATAATTTCTAGGTGTCTTAATGATTAAGATAATTGGAAATAGGTATATTCAAATATAATTGTTTATTTCAATTTTTATACATATCATTCCAAAATTTATTACTTATTCTCACACTTTGCCAAAGGAAGAAAAGAGTAACCCAATTATAATATGGCTTTGTCAAAATAACCTAGGGTCCTCGTGAATATCAGTTTCCGCACTAAGACACAGAGATATCCTCGTGAGTGACTGACATATGGAGCTCTTTTCCCCTTTACCAGATGATCCTAGATTGCTATGCAGCTTGCTGGTGTTTTTTCTGTCTTGTCCATACCTTGTACAGTCACCTGGGCCCTTTTTTTGTACTGTAAGTCTTCAAAGGGAAAACTGATAAAGTATTATGTCCAAAACCAAATTAAAATATATTTTGTGTTTTGAAAAAGATAGCTAGATGAGCTTTATGGTAAGTTTTTGCTTTGGACACATGGACGTTTCTGCTTAATTCCCATTCATCTATAGGTTCACAGCATTCTAAATAGGTAAACTGTCAGAAATTAATAAAAAAGGTCCACGTAAAATTTGTTAACCGTACACTTTATACTGAGAAACTATTAATATTACACTTGAATTAGCTAGTCTGAAAGCTGTAGCTATCAGAACCACCAACATCCTTTCAGTACCGGCACTGGCTGTGAGGGCTGTTTTCTGCTCGACCCTGAAACGGATTTCCTTCACCACTTCCTCAGCTGATGTTCCAAAAACAACTGAGTTTTGGTGTGTTTGAGGATTATTCGGTTCTTCAGAGTTCACTTGGAAAGGATTTCCTGGGGACTGCAACTCAGGAGGACTATCTTCAAAAAGGAGTGGAGAGATGGATCTTCCCAGCTCACTCAGTTTGTTAACTTCCTTTCCTGGATTATCTAAATTGTAAACAGGAATAGTAATTCATCTTCATTCTAAGAAGTACATACTTCATAAATTATGTTTCCGTCAGTCTTTTTAAAGACAAAACAAATCTCATTTAGTTTTGTTTCTAAGAACCAAGGTCAGAAACATTATCATTTATATTTTTAACTGTTTAACAAAGAAAACACTGATTCTAAGCTTTTCTTAAAAAGAATATCACCCATTTCCACTGTATACAGTTTAAAAAGAAATACCTTAGGTAAAATTCACTAATTTTTGAACAAAATTAGTTGAAAACAAGAGCTGGAATTAGATTCACAGTACTTTTTTCTTAAAAAAAAAAAAAAGAAAGTTTTTTCCCCTTTACTCATCTCTAGGAGAAAAAAGAACCTTAAGTTAGAATTTAAGAATAAGGAAAAGGCATTAAGCAATCTAGAGTAATTATGCGTGAAAGATAGATTTTATTTTTAGAGGGGAAAAAAACCTTAATGTTTTCTTCATTCATGGTAAAACTTTCCAAGTGTTAAAAGAATCTGAATTTTATTCTTTCAAATGCTGATTTTAATTTTGACTTCTTTTTTCTTTTTATAAAGTATCACTCTTACTAACAGCACATTTGAAATAAACAGAAATTATTTTTGGAAGTTATACTTCATTAAATATATAAATTCTTAAGGTCTAATCAGATTAACAATGATCCAAGTTTAAGGGTGAGAAGCCTTTATTATCAAAGGGCTGTTAACTGATATTATTAAAAAGTAAAGCAAAAATACTAATCTGGTTATTACCTCTTTTTTTTTTTTTGCATTTTTCATGAATTTAAACTGTGAAATACATTTAAATCTATACCAATACTAAAAATGTCCTCATGAACAAATCTATGAACTTTACTTTCTGGGCTTAATGGAGAAGAAATCGGTTTAAGTGAAAAATTTATAAAAATAAGATGAACAACAGAGCTTTCTGATCCATTCCACAATTCTTTTTTATTTTTGGCAGCCCCACGTGGCTGGTGGGACCTCAGTTCCCAGATCAGGGATTGAACCTGGGGCACAGCAGCCAATGCACTGAATCCTAACTATGAGACCACCCAGGAACTCCCTCCAGCTCATAATCTCACTACACATGAACATTTTCCAAATTAAGGTACATACAAAACAAAGATTAAATTCTTAAGTTTCAAGACACATACAAATGCATTATACTTAAAAAATGAAGTTGGCTTTTTGGAAAGAGTTTACAGATAACACAAATAATATGACAGACACCTGATTAGTATCAAGTTTTTAAATATGCAATATCAATTAAGTCACAGATATTTTCCAAATCTGAATTCCCAGGCCACTACAAAATAAGCCTTATTTTCAAATTATATATTAGCTGTTATTTATGTACTTCAGTTCATTTTCCATTATTTGGTTTTAAAATATAGAGCAATTCAGAGGGGATTAAGACTGTGGCACAGTTGAAATGGCATCTACCTGGACCCTTTTCCCCACCTAGACGTGTGGAAGTCAACGTAAAGAGCTATGGAAAACCTGCAGGTCTAGAGAGAAACCTTCACAGCCCCCTTCTGCGGTTCCTGGGCCATGTTTTACACCGCAAGCTTTAGTCACCACATCCTCAGGTGAGGCACTGACTATGGAACACTATGACAGAGAGCAAAGCCTGCCGTTCTCAGCTTCACTGTTCAGTCACTGCTGAATGATGTAGTTACCTGGTCAATTTGTTTACTTCTCTGCGAGGCCTGGCTCTGCAACCAACCACTCAAGTGGTTTCCTATTTGCTTTCTGAAAGAAATATCTTTATAAGCCCCATAACTGAGGTGATCAAAGTGCAAAATTAAGGTTTGTGATAATCTGAAATACTAAAGATCCCATCTGGATGGCAAGTGCTAAAAAGTATACGGTACAGTATTTTAGTTTTTTATATTGGCTAGCACCATCCAGATTTATAAGAAAGAATAAACATAAAATTATTATTGTTTTATTTCTATATAGACATGGTAGTTAACAATACTTTTCCAAAACTGCACCTTTTAGAAAAGGGGCAAACAACAGAAAAATGCCTTGGACTTTAGAGGAAGATATGTCAGCCACCTGCCGTGACTCCAAAGGCAGGATTGGAGAATTCACTGTTGAAAGCTTCTCTTGGCATAATGTGAAATCAGACGTGCCTGAAAGGTCAGTCCACAGGGACTTAGATATGAAAAAAAAAGCTAAGCTATTTAAATTGCTTAAGAATATGAAATACATGAAGAGGAAAGTACATCGATAAATGTTAAGAACGACAGGTATTAAAAATTCACAGCCTCATAATAAGTTTGGATGTACAGTAAATGAAAAGAACATTAGTAGGGAATAAAAACATTTATCTCAGCCCCAATATAATTTTTTATAACTTATTGTGAAAGTAATTGTTATAGGGGCTTCTCAGGTGGCGCAGTGGTAAAGAATCAGCCTGCCAATGCAGGAGAGGCAAGAGACGCAGGTTTGATCCTTGGGTCGGGAAGGTCCCCTGGAGTAGGAAATAGCAACTGAGTCCAGTAGTCCTGCCTGGAAAATGCCATGGACAGAGGAGCCTGGCAGGCTACAGCCCATGGGGTTGCAAAGAGTTGGACACGACTGAGCACACCACGCCAAGAATATAGGAGACCCTCAGGGAGTGAGTCAATGTAACTACTGACATTTAATGGTTCCCCTCCTTTCTCTTGTGAAAGTTAAGGAATAGAGTAAGATTTTAAGCAATCTCAGGCGTTGTGTGTCACTTCCCCGAACAAGTTCTACTAAGAGCAAAACACCTTTTGCTTCAAGACTCTACGTCCAGAACTGTTTACTGCTTATATTGTTTAATGATTCCCTTAAAAGAGAGAGACCTTATAGAGCTCTAAGCAAGGTAATAAAATTATGATTTGATGTCCATATTAAATTTGCTCCTAAGATGTGAGCCCCGAACCATGGTAGCCTGTCCCCTCTGAAGCAGTCAATGAGTTGTGCACACGAAACGTGGCTGTTGGTTTCAAGCAAACCCTCTATTTCTACCTTTTCATCTAGGTGAACTTTGCTCAGGGGTCCAGGACAATGCTGGCATTTGAAGTAATCACACCTCGGACAGAGAGCTGACAGAGCACATGTACTATCTGCATGTTTTCTGGCATTGTTTTGGATAGATGATAAGGGTCCCATTTGAAAAAACCCTTAGGGTCATAAAACTGTTTCATTACATAGAAAAAGAGTCAAAATAAGGTCTAAGGCAAAGAAGGGAACTGGAGAATCATTAATTTTGGCAAGGTTAAAAACAGTAATCACAGTAACCAGATTATGGAAAATCTATGAAATAAAGGGGGGAAAAATCCCATCCAATGTTTTAGTATGTTTGAGACTTATTTTTTTTTTTAAGCCTATTTTCTATTATTAACAGCTACAACCAAAGGCTACCTTAAACAGAGAACCTCCTCAGATTCAATGCAATCCAACCCTCAGTTAGGTTAGATCTTAAGAAAAACTTCTATGAAATTACTTTGGGCAGGGACTCTGCACACTCAAACTCTAGAGATTTTAGAATTTCATTTGGTTTAAAAGTGACATTCCACACATTTATCTCAGAAATCCCACTGGTATATTTAAGTTTCTGATTTTCATTTTTAATACTTTTCATAATAAAGCTATACCTAGTCCTACATCTATGCCTGCTAACTGGTTAATCCAAAGGGGTTTTTTTTGAAATCTGATCATTCTAATAAATTGCTTACCGTTTTCTAGAGAGGTCCCTGCTGTGATGAAATACTTCCTTTTGTCTTCAGGCCAATTTTTTCTTTCCTCTAAATGCTTTGTTATATTCAGGTAGGCTTCATCAAGACTCATGGCCATAAAATTGGGATCATAGTCAGTAAGGATTTCCTTAACCTTCAAAAGGAACATGTTTAACATCATTCTGATAGGCAGAGAAAAAGTTAAGCAACATAATTTTAGGTAGCAGGTCAAAAGCAGAAGTGGGAACAACAGGATCTTGATCTCCTTTTATGACCTTTTTTTGTTCATTTTAAAAAGGAATAATCTTACATGAAGGTACTATGTTGCTTTAGAAAGTAGTTCTACTTCAATTAATTATGTCTCTAAAACTCCACTCAATAATGCATGTATCCATTCAGAAAACAAAACAGCTACCAGGATTTAGAATGGAAAAGATGACAAAAACTGTAGTGTTAAGCCTGTGACTATATTAAATGATCGGGAAAAGTCTGGAGTTGCATCTTGGAATAAAATAAATATGTAAAGACATCAGAATCTCTGTATGATTCCAGAAATGCCTTTTACAGAAGATAATTTTATTATATGAAGCTATGAAGTTTTTTTTTTTGCTATGAAGTTTTTTAACCACTGAAGTATTAGCTGAAATTAAAGGAAATGGTTGCCAAAATAATATGTATGTTAGAAAAACATATTTGCTGAAATATGTAATGTTTCATCTTGTGTTTTAAAGCTGTCTGTGGTATCATGAGAAAAATCTTTCTAGATGTTTTATAAAAAGAAAGCTTTTTCGTTTAACATAACTATGAACAGCTGAGTCAAAGGTAATTTTAGAAAATGTCACAAAAAACTTGGCCAAGCTTTACTCAGAAAGTACCTTAATTAGCTTTGTTCTTATAGAAGAAATCATTTTCACAATGTGCTTAAATGGAATCTTTCGTGAAAATGAAACTGGAAAGTCAGTAGTTGGCAGCCAACTAAGATGATTCTGAATGAGAAGTGCTCTCTGGAGACAATGAGTACTCACTAACTTCCTTTACATAAGATACTTCTTCAAGAACAAAAATAGACAGGCTCCAGTGAAAACGAAGTACTGAGGCTTGGAGAACAGTTAAAGCAACTCCACTCTTTTGGATAAAACAAAAATGGCTTTTTCTTAAACTTTTAAACAAGCCATAAATATTGATGCATTTGTTGTCAGTGCATCTGCACTACAGTTCATTTACAGATAAGAACCCACTTGTCGTCTGCAAATAAACTAGTTAGATCCTGATCAAATTTGAAGACAGATTTCTCTAACTTATGAAAATGACTAAAGGGAACGAAAACAATTTGGTTCTCATTGTTATGCTGTCAGAAGTTTTACTGACTTAAAGCAGAACTTAAAAAAATTCTTACAAAGTCTTTGAAGGATTTTCAAACTTATTAGTATTAAAAGCCTAGGTGGCTCAGTGGTAAAGAATCCTCCTGCTAATGCAGGAGACGTAGGTTCGAGCCCTGGGTCAGGAAGATTTCCTGGAGAAAGAAATGGTAACCCAGTATATTATTCCCCTTTTTCTTTGACTATGGTTTTCGGGATATTAAATGCTCATAAGCACCTTCACTAGATTATGGGGCCAGGAGAGCAGCTAATCAAAATAAGTTAATGTTGTTACTGTTAAAAAACACTGATAAAAAATTTACTCAGAAAAGAGCTTGGAATTAATGATATGGAATTAAGTCTGCAGATTATAAATATAAGGTGATTCTAGAAGAAAATGTACATTGCACATTAACAGAAAAAGAGCTAAAGTTAATTTAGGTTATAATTAAGGTAATGCAGGGTTTTCTGGGGAGATAATTTTCTATGCAGATGAGAAAACACATGGAAAAGCAAAAAAAACAAAAAACAAAAACTGGGAAATAGAAGGGCATAGTCTGGACATATCTGCAGCTCAATATTTGATACATAAGCTGAGGAAGTGGTAGAAGAGACACTTACAGGGATAAGATAAGGATAGATTCTGATGTGCTACGGTATTTGGACCTGTCTCTCTATATGACGCGAAATCAACAAGAGACTATAAGTAGGAGTGAGATAGCAGACTTACCTCTCTACTCACAGCTTGGTATTTGTCAAAGTTTGGGGGCACTATAATAAGCTGTGGGCAGAGTCTTTTAGCAATAAATCCTGGCATGGCTGCACGAACACCGAATCTCCTTGCGTGGTAATTTGAAGTAGACTGAAAGAAAGTGGGCCACATGGGGAAAAACATTCAAACCAAAACTGACATATTGATCAATGCTTTCAAGAGAACCACATGACTGATGTGCATTTTCAATTCAAAGACATTTCTTTTATAGGCCACTGTCTCAAACCAAGCTTCTGACTTCGTCGTATCATGGTATAGTGCCACGACCCTCTCCCACTCCTGTCTCATATTTATAGTGCGACATGAGGTAAAAAGCAAGACTGTGCTTTAAAAAGGTTCTCTCACATTTCAAGTAACTAAACTTCATTGGCTTTAATGAATATCTGTAATACAGTACATATAAAAGTTTAGAAGGGGATTTATATGAACGTTATAGTAGTATAAAGCTATACAGTACAAACAGTATAGAAGTTACAGAAAGTAAAAGTATATAAAGTAATAGTATAGTATAATACTATGGATTTGGAATTTTCTCTAATTGGGATTTGGGAAATTTTTCATCTAGAAAAAAAAGAAATATATGGTCTAATATATGGTCAGTTAAATTAAGTCTCAAACATGAAATGATTAAAGCACAAAAGAACTTTTAAAATTAAGCTTTATTTCTCAAGGCTGAAATATTTTTTTTTTGGTGAAAACATTTTAACTAGGAGATGGCACTTAATAATTATGAGAGTAAACAGGAAAACATTACTTATTAATCCTGTTGATGAAAATACCTGGCAACAATCTAGGCTAATGTGGTAGGCCACAGTACCATTTAGAAAAAATTAATCACAAATGGAATCCTTGGAATCTCAAGCGAAAAATTCAAAGAACGTAAAACAAAATCTACCAAATGAAAGGGTATTTCAGAAATGATAATATAAATTAGCCATTTATAGTTTTCAAGTGGCATTTAAAAATCTTGATAGTAATCAAAACTATGCTAATCCTTGGTCAACATTCTGGAATAGAAAATGCAGACAGCACTTGGAAGACAAACCAATGCTTTAAATATTAATATGAAGAAATCTATTGGGATTGATATTAAAAAAGCTAGATCTACAGTAGAGTAGAAAAACAATTTTATATATGACATCCTTTAACATTTAGGTTTGTGGGGGATTGTAGATCATAGTCACAATCTTTCACAGTTCCTCCTGTCAAAAGGTGGGTTCTAGTTCCTCTTACCAAGAGACTAGTGTTGACTTGTTTTGACCACAGGAATGTGAGGGAGTGACATTATATGAGTCCTGAAACCTACGCATGAAGAAGTCTGCAGCTTCTGCCTTTGCTTTTGTGGGGTCCAGCAACTACGTGAAGATCTGGTGTTAGATTACAGAGATCTTATTACCAGGATTTAATAAGACCATGTGGAGGAGCAAGCACCATGTGGAGGGGAAAGCTCATAGCTGGAGGGATGTGAGTAAAGGCCTTTGGGATCCCACAGCTCCAGGCAAAGTCTGAGCCAACCCCAAGTGGGATGAACAAACCCTCCCCATTGTACTCGGCTCAAATTACAGAATCATGAGCCCAAACGAATGTTCACTAAGTACCAAGGGGCTCATGTGCATAATTTCACATAAATACATGGTGATATATTTTCTTAATAACACTGAATACTTTAAGTATTAGCTGATGATTTGTAGGAAAGGGGAGTGTACTTTCCTATAAAGTTATTTTAGAACCAGGACTGTCAGTTGCCCACATACTTGTGGGAGCAGAGAGAATGAACAAACAGACTGTAGTTTCATAATAAAATGACAACTCAGGAATCATGTTAATAGCTATCGAAGGCACTGAAAAGAGTTAGAACAAAGAAGAACCTTCCTTATTTCTCGTGTATTTTTTTTTTTTAAACCAAACTCATCTATTTCAGTTGCTGTTTCTAACTCCCAACCCATTTTTGGCTACACACAGCTGTCCTGGTCACTTACCTGCTATGGTGAGGGTGGTAATAAAGAAAAGCCACACAGTAACAGAAATGCAAAGGTTTCAAGTCATGGAAAGAACTACTCAGTTACAGGACTCATATTAATAAAACACCTTACTCCAAAACTGGTGTTGGTAAACTTTTGCTGTAAATGCTCAAACACCTTAGGCTCTGCAGATCATGTGGTCTCTGCGGCAATTCCTAACTCTGCTCTTTTAATGAAACAACAATAAGTGACTGGGTGTGACACTGCTCCAATAAAATTTTTTTAATTTTCATTGGAGTAGGTGCCATGGTGGTAAAGACTCTGCCTGCCAATGCAGGAGGCAGAAGAGATGTGGGGTCAATCCCTGATTGGGAAGATCCCCTGGAGTGGGAAATGGCAACCCGCTCCAGTACTCTAACTTGGAAAATTCCATTGACAGAGGAGCCTGGCTGGCTGCACAGTCCACGGGGTCACAGAATCCGACACGACTGGGCCACTAGGCACACACAAATAGTTGACTGACAATGCTGAATTCAATAAAACTTTATTTACAAAATAAGGCAGCAGGGGGGACTTGGCCTGTAGGCCACTGTTTGCAAATTTCTGCTTTAGAATAACATTTCCTTTTCTTTCTTTTTCAATTCTCTTTAACTAGAACAATTACTTAAGAAAAATTAATTTGCAACAGAAAGATAAAATGCCACTCTATCATTTACCAGGTTTATAACATTTTCTTGAGAAATCCGTATGCAGGTCAGGAAACAACAGTTAGAACTGGACATGGAACAACAGACTGGTTCCAAATAGGAAAAGGAGTATGTCAAGGCTGTATATTGTCACCCTGCTTATTTAACTTATATGCAGAGTACATCATGATAAACGCTGGGCTGGATGAAGCACAAGCTGGAATCAAGATTGCTGGGAGAAACATCAACAACCTCAGATATGCAGATGACACCACCCTTAAGGCAGAAAGTGAAGAACTAAAGAGACTCTTGATGAAAGTGAAAGAGGAGAGTGAAAAAGTTGGCTTAAAACTCAACATTCAGAAAATGAAGATCATGGCATCTGGTCCCATCACTTCATGACAAATAGATGGGGAAACAGTGGAAACAGTGACAGACTTTACTTTGGGGGGCTCCAAAATCACTGCAGATGGTGACTGCAGCCATGAAATTACAGATGGTTACTCCTTGGAAGAAAAGTTATGACCAACTTAGACAACATATTAAAAAGCAGAGACATTACTTTGCCAACAAAGGTCTGTCTAGTCAAGGCTGTGGTTTTTCCAGTAGTCGTGTATGGATGTGAGAGTTGGACCATAAAGAAAGCTGAGCACCAAAAAATTGATGCTTTTGAACTGTGGTGTTGAAGAAGACTCTTGAGAGTACTTTGGACTGCAAGGAGATCCAACCAGTCCATCCTAAAGGAGATCAGTCCTGAGTGTTCATTGGAAGGACTGATGCTGAAGCTGAAACTCCAATACTTCAGCCACATGATGGGAAGAACTGACTCACTAGAAAAGCCCCTGATGCTGGGAAAGATTGAGAGCAGGAGGAGAAGGGGATGACAGAGGATGAGGTGCTTGGATGGCATCACTGACTTGATAGACATAAGTTTGAGTAAACTCCAGGAGTTGGTGATGAACAGGGAGGCCTGGCATGCTGCAGTCCATCGGGTTGCAAAGAATTGGACATGACTGAGCAACTGAACTGAACTGAACTGAAATGATAACACTGGGGACATTATAAAACACTTCTTTGAATTTGTCTCCTTATCTGTCAAATGGAAATAAAAATTTGTACCTCAAGCGATGTTGAAAGGATTCAGTAAGTGCATACCTATAAAACACCTAGAAAAATATTCTGATAGAACTGGTAGAGCTTAATAAGGTCTTTTCCCTTCATGAGCCGGTAAGGATTACTTGAGTGTGAACATGTCACGAAACTTCTTTTTTGTTGCCAATCTTACCCACTTACCAGCATGCTCATTGATCCCACAGCAATGGGTCTATCCTTCAATTCTGGATTGTCCCTCATTTCTACTGCTGCATAGAAAGCATCCATGTCAATGTGCACTATGGTACTGTTCAGATCCCGGCTCTGTTCCAGTTCCATTGCAAATCTGTCGACCTTAATGTTTGAAAAGTTAACACATTTTAGGAATATAATATTGAAATAACAGTAATCATAACACTACTCTTTTCTTCCCCCACTCCACTTGTGGGATCTCAGTTCCCTGACCAGGGATTGAACCCAAGCCCATGGCAGTGAAAGCACCAAATGCTAACTGCTGAACTGCCAAGGAAGTCCCAACACCAATCTTATTTTCAGTAGGTGTCTGTTTGTCTCTGTCCATCCATCTGGCCATTACTCATCCACCCATTCCCATACCTGTCTATATATATTTGATTATTGTTTATTAAGGCTGGTAATGGTTTTTATTTCCAAGAACATAAGCAGTCTGTTCTCAAATATCATTCCCTACCAACTCTTTCATTTTTCAATACCCACAAGCACATAATAGGTACTTAATAAATATTTACTGAATGAATAAAGCATTCCAACTGCTTATATATCAAATGATTCTACTGCTTTATAAATCTGGAAAACTTACTGTAACTAAAAGCTTCTGTTTAGGTAAAATAAACAACTTCCATCTGACTCATAATATTAATGTCTTAAAATACTAAGAAAGGAAATGTACAATAAACGATTATACTTTGGCATATGATGTTTATGTTGAACAGTACTGTACAACTGATTGTCTTAAGGCATGATGTAAACATTCCTTCTGTAGAATTGCTATTTTAAGGCTAAAATTTGATAATTGGTAGTCTATTTGAATCAAAGTTGAAAATTTAATCTAATTTATTCTTTCATGACATTTCAACAATAACAGTGAGCAATCTTGATCTTTACAGAATTTTATTTCTTTAGAGAAAAACAGTTGGACTGATAAGAAAGAAGACAGAGAAATGAAAGAAATAACCAAAGTAGGGCAGCAAGAAACGGCTTACGTAGCAAACACACCCATTCCCAAGTGTTCCGTTCTTGTGGCCTCTACCGTGCAGGCTGAAAAAGCTAAATATACAATATTCTAGCTTCCTCTGCAGCTGATGGTGACTGTGTGACCATTTTAATCTAGCAACATATGAGGAAGTCAGTAAGACCATCAAGTAAAATCATGAAGAGAAGAGAGAAGCAAGCTACTGAATGGAACAGAATACATGAAGAGCGTGGAGGTGTGTCTGCCACATGGTCCAAGTTTAACACATGCAACTTTAACTCATGAAAGGATCCCTGGAAAGCTCCACAGCAAAGCAATAAAAAATTAAGAGAAAAGCAGCCGGAAATAAGCGCGTGGGGTGAGCTCTGAATGAAATGTGGCAGTCCCTAGAGGTTTTATAAAAGGCGGGGGACTTTCATGGGGGTATGATGGAGCCTTTCCCCCTTGTTTGACGTCAACCTTGTTTTCATTCCGCAGAAATTTTCTTCTCAAGGTCTTCTTTCTTAATGTTATAGTGACACTAGTTAACTCCTAGGTACAAGTCAAAACTGTAACTCCTTTATCCTCCAATTAAAAATCATTTTAGAAAAAGTAAAACCAAAAACAAACAAGCAAACAAACAAACAAAAAAACCCTGAGAAAACAAACAAAGAACTGCAATCCCTCTTTTATAAACAATCACTCTGATTCACATTTGTCTCCAATAGCCACAGTGAGGCTTCCGAGAGGATCCAACCTTGTTTAGCCTGAAACTCGCTGAGTGACCTAGCTGCTCTGTGCCTTCAGGCTGTTGCTCTGCGTACAGCACCCTTCCCTGTTCTGACACCAGCCCTCAAGGAGCTCAGAGGCCCCTCGGTCACACCAGGCCTCGGTCCCCTGTGCCGCAGAATTCAGTGTTCCCTTACTTGTTTTCTTGCTCTTAGATGGCACTTACCGTACTAGCTTCTACATTGTGAGTTCCATCAGGAGAAAGACTTTATCTGCTTTGACATTTTTTCCTCATTGGAAGATTAAAAGGTACAAACTTAAAAAAAACTTAAAAAAAAATAAAAGGTACAAACTTCCAGTTACAGAATAAATGAGTCATGAGAATGAAATGTACAACATGGGGAATAATATTATAGTGACTTTGTATGATGACAGATGGTAACTACAGACCTACCATGGTGATCATTTTGTAACATACAGAAATATCAAAACACTATGTTGTACACCTGAAACTAACACAGTGTTACAGGTCAACTGATCTACTTCAGTTAAAAAAAAAAAAGATGAATAAGATTTGGGGTCTAAGGTACAGTATGATGACTATAGCTAACAATACTCTACTGATATGTGAGTTACTTAGAATGTAAATCTTAAAGGTTAGCAACATGAAAATAAATAACGGCAACTATACAAATAAATTCCTCATAAAAGAGAAAGGGAAGAGAGACTTATACACCCATTTATATTTATCAGGATAAATTTTATTCTTTTATATATGGACATGATTTAGCATTGAACAACATATATATACTTATTACATATGTATAATATATATATATCTCATTTAAAAAGAGAAAATAGTATTTGTAGAAAAAGTGTGGAGAAGGCTGATTTCACAGTGAGACACTACATCTAATAAATAGAATTTTTTAACATTATTCCAATTTATCATTCAGATTTAAAATAACTATTTCTTCCAGTACTTCAATTTTATTTTATTTTTTAAAAACATTTATTTTTATTTATTTGGCTGCATAGAGTCTTAGTTGTGGCATGTGGGATCTAGTTCTCTAACCAGGGATCGAACCCAGTTCCCCTGCATCAGGAGCACAGAGTCTTAGCCACTGGACCACAAGGGAATTCCCAGTACTTCAATTTTAAAATAGAGAATAACATCCTGACATTAAAAAGATGTAAACAAATCATGGGGACTAATAAAAACAAGGGTAGATTAACCCAGAAAATGTGCCTAAGAATTGAGTCGACTGAGCATAAGGGAGAAGCATCTGAAGTATCTTAATCCAGAAACACTGAAAAGGAAGAAGACAATAAATAGAAAGTAAGCCAAATGGGGGAATAATAAAAAACCTCTCCTTAGACTCATAAGTTAATGCTCTGACAGTTTCTTCAACAATCTGTTGTCTTTCTGTGCTCACAGCAAGGGTACAGTTGCCAAAAGGAAACCTCGCCACCGAATGAGTCACACATTCCACTTTCCTTTACTATCGCTCATTAGTCACCCTTGTCTGAACTTTTCTTCTGCATCTACCAAATGCACGCCACCACTGCTTTTTTCCAGTTTCATCTGCTGAAATCTTCATTCATGGTTTCCTTCCCTCCATTTTTCCTTCCAAATGACTTCCAAGTTATGTATATATATCTTGTATATACCCAAGTATATAACATGTACCTATTCCCTCTTGCTACAGTTCAGAGTCAGTGTCTGTCACAGTGTGTAAGGGCTTTATTTGGGTCTCAGGCCTGCCACTTACTAGTTAAATGATAGTGGGCAACTCGACCCCTCTCACTTTTACTTTATTTGTAAAGAGGGACTGGCATGCTGCAGTCCATGGGGTCACAAAGAGTCAGACACGACTGAGTGACTGAACTGAACTGAAGGAGAGACTAAACCAATTTCACAAGGTGGAAAGAATTAAGAGATACCCATGAAATGCACTTATCTAGGGATATGGTAAGGGCTTAGTGATATCACCTATAGATTTTAAAGTAGAAATGACATTTGTTGATTATATCATATGTAATATGCAAAATGCTTATGTTAACTCACCCGCTGGTCAAATTAATTCAGAGGATACTTATTATCCCCATTTTATATATGAAGCTAAAGCTGAGGAAGATTATGTAATTTGCTCCAAGTCATAGAACTGGTCAAAATGTTAGAACTAAACCTGGAAATCAGGTTTCTCTAAAGCCTGTACTCTTTCCATTATATCATAATACTTCCCTAAAACAAAAATTTTTAATTTAACACGGAAGTAAGCTCAAATAGAGATCTAGAGGCATATTTTATATCCATATTATGTCTTATTTACATTTTAAAAATTATTTTTAAAAGATTATATTTAGGAGATTACTTCAGAAATACTGTTTTTCATTTTCTTAACTTAGTATTAACCTAAAAATTGTGGAATAAATCTGAGTTCTCCAAGTCAACTGTTAAAGTGGTCAAAGTGCACTGATTTACTGACTAGTTGCCATTTAATATGACATGGACGCTTGTCTATTCATGAGCCCAAGCTACACTAAGATGCTCTGACAGCTACAAAAATGATTATGCTTTTAAGTTTAATAAGGATGGGATCGGGTAGGGATACTTAGGGAGGTTCTGAAGAAACATCAGGGGAGTTCATGCCTTCAGAGCTTACTTATTACATATAATAAAATCTACTGTTTGGAAATTTCATTACTCTAAAACAGAAACACATTTCCCATGAAAACCTCTCTGTTCTTTCAGAACTTCTAGCCTCCTTAGGATTTCCTCAATCCCCTCCCACTTATATAACTTCTTTTAAAGGAAGCTCAAAAACTGAAACAATTTTACAATCAACAAAAAACACACTTCCTGCCATTTCCCTTGCAAAAGATGCCACAGAGCCTCCCATGGAAGAGTCAACTAAAATCATAACAACACATGAAGTTTTGCTACACAATGTAAGGGATTCTCTATTTCTTCAGATTATTAGCATATTTAAGGATATGAGTTTTTAAAGTAGTATAAACAGCAAGACATTGCTATGCCACTCCTATGTATTACATCTTTAAAACTTTATTAAAGATATTTGTAGGCTATAAAGCAAAAAGAGTTCCAGAAACTAAACTGCCTAAGGAGTAATATCAATTTAAAAACAATGTTACTTTGGACTGAATGGAATTTCTTTTTAACTTGATGAAATAATGCTTAATCTTGTATGAAAAAAACAATGGATGAAGAGAAAATGTTTTTCTAAAGAAGAGTGGTGAGGAGGAATATTAAACTACATTATTATCATTCAATAAATAAAATTGCGTGGTATATATTAGAAAAATCTTTACGAGTGACAGATAAAAAAATATTTATTATATGATAAGATCTATAAATGAGGAGAAATAAACTCTAGAAATGTGAGCAAAGAATATTGCCTTGGACTGCTAGTTGAACCCTGAAATCTACTCTCTTCCTTCCATAGTAATAGATTTTTAGTTGAGCATATGGCCACCCACTTAGAGAATATATTTTATAGCTTCTCTTGCACTTAGGTGTGGCCATGAAACTCAAATGTGAGCTAAGGTAACATGCATAACTTCTCTTTCACTAGCTTAATAGCAAATTACTTTCCTTCAATGAAGTTTTCTCCTTTTTCTTTCTTTCAATGTATAACAGAACCTGAGTCTCTAAATTACTATGGTGATCAGAACCACCAGAGCAGCTGGGACTACATAACCTATAATGTGGGAAAGAAATAAACTTATCTGAACCATTATATTTTAAGGTCTCTTGTGCCAATTACTTAGCCCATATCCGAACAGAATAAAGGAGGCTATTCCCATAAGAGGGAAATACTGATGGCTAACTTATGTGTGAAAAGACATTCTTTCTCTGTTGTAATCAAAGGAGGGCAAAGTAAAACAATAATATTTTGGACATTGTATCAGCAAAAACTAAAAGACTGATAAAGTTGATAAAATTGAGTTTTACACAAGTATGTGAGGAAACCATCATTTTTATGTTGAAAATGTAAAATGGTACAATCTTTGGTGAAAATAACAGGACAAGAGTGCAAAGATACATGAATACAAATGATCATCACAATATTATGTACCTCCACGGACTGACCTGCCATGAAACATTAAAAACGATGATTTGACAAATTATCTTTAGTCATGATAGCAGACTACTCAACATAGAAGATAAAAAACTAGCTTGTGCTCTAGGAAAGCATATGTCCAAAAAAGATGACATATTAGTTTGGTAAAGAAAGCAAAATTTATAATATCTGAACTCCCATCATGAGAAGAATTTTACAGCACACTCAATTACTGTTATAATTTTATTGCTATGTTATAGCTTAAAGTACTTTGTGAAACTGAATCAGATTTTGATAGAGGGTAAAACTCTCTAAATGTGAACTTTAGTTTTACTGCCTTGAGTTCTCATTCTACCACCTAATGCCTTATAGACTGGCTCTTCTCAAACTTTCCTATTGAAATAACTTGTAATACCACAGGAAGTTGAGCATTTACTCCCCAGAGATGCCAAAGAAGCCAAATGACCCCAAACTTTTAGAAGTCTCGTGTTTTATCTTAAAAATTCATGTACATTTGGCATTTTACCATTTACATGACTTTTTGTTTTACTATAACACAACTACGTTTCAAAGTACTTCTAAATTTAATTAGTTAACATGTTCCCCCAAATCTTTTTTGAAAAATTAGTTTTTCAAAAAACATGTCACATTTATCTTGGGCCTTTTCCAACTGCAACATATGATTTGGATTAAATCCTAGCTCTGACAACTACCTGTCATATGAAGCTGGGCAAGTAACTTAACCTAACTAAGGCTCCATTTACTCTCCTGTATAATGGAGGTGACAATGTTTAGGTGTGGGTCTTTATGTAAAAACACAGAGCAATTTTTTTACAAAGGTGTATGCACATTTGTTAAATTTTTATGCTTTACAATGTAACAAACATTTACATTTACCTTGTTTTCAGTTATAATTTCACCATGATGCATTTTAACTACCAATTATTATTCTATCAGCACCTACTATATTTAGCAATTGAATTAATACCTGTAATTGTGCCTTCCTCAGCTGCTGGCTGGTAATTTGAGCTTTTTGTTGCAACATATTTTCAATTCGTTGGTTGATCTGCTTTTCTTTCTTGAGCTCATTTCCATAAAATCTGGACCCCTAATGTAGGAAAACAATGCATAGCATAAGAGAAAGGGCTGAAGGAAAGCATCACTGTGAACCTGATGGCTAAGAGTACAGGCTCTAGAAAGAGAATGGCTTGAATTCAAAACTTACCTCCATTACTTACTAGCTTGGTGACCCTAAAGTTCATCTTACTATGCCTCAGGCTCCCTAATCTGTAAAATGAACTTATAGTTACCTAAATCACAAGATTGTTGAGGCAGTAAGCACAGTACAAACTCTTCAAGATCTGCATTTGGGAAATAAAGCATATCCTAGGTGGGATCCTCCGGGCACATCCAAGGATTTAGTCAGCTGGGTCATCAATTATCTCCTTTACTTTCATTGAAAATTTATGGTAAAAAATTAACTAACAGAAACCTCAATTAAATACTCAGAGATCAGAAGAGGGAGCTCTGGCCCCCTTTGATGATAGCAGAAAGCATCAAAAAAATCATTCCTGGCAACGACTCAGGCAATGAAAAGTCATGGCCTCTGTTTACTATATACCCTTGCCAACTTCCTTTTCTCCTCTTGGAAAGAGTTCTTCCCTTTATTTTTGCTAAGCACTTGCACGTGGCTTACCATGGCTGCAGTCCTTGAACTGCAATTCTCTGCTAATCTCAAACAAAGCCATCATTTTTTTTTAATGGAGAAATAATTAGCAGTCTGTTTTAGGTAAATAGTACTTTTAAATATTTAATATTAGCCATTAAATAAAATGTAGAAAGTAACTTGTAGAAAATAATCTATCATTCCATCAGTGAACATACTATCTACCTATTTATAAGACTGATGGACATTGAGATCATTTTTACATTTTGGCTATCATGAAAATGGCTGCAATGAACAATTGTGTACATTTTATGTGGTCACATGTTTTCACTTTCCTTGGATATGTACCTGGGAGTAGAATCTCTGTGTTACATGGCAACTTCCCACTTAACCTTTTGAGGAACTGCAAAACCATTTTCCAAAATGGCAGAAGCATTTCACAAGACTACCAGCAATGTATGAGGATACCAATTTCTCCATATCCTTGCAAAATCTGTTACTGTTTGTCTTTATTACAGCCATTCTAGGCTGTAATACTCTGACTGTATCTCATTGTGGTTTTGGGTTTTTTGGGTTTTTTTTAGCTACACTGGGTCTTCATTGTGGCATGCGGGGGACATCTTTAGTTGTGGTCCATGGGCTTCTATAGTTGGGCTTAGTTCCCCAACCAGGGATTGAACTCGCGTCCCCTGCATTAGAAGGTGGATTCTTTTTTTTTAAAATTTATTTATTTTAATTGGAGGCTAATTACTTTACAATATTGTGGTGGGTTTTGCCATACATTGACATGAATCAGCCACAGGAGTACATGTGTCCCTGACCCCAAACCCCCTCCCTCTTCCCTCCCCATCCCATCCCTCTGGGTTGTCCCAGTGGACCAGCTTCGAGTGTCCTGTTTCATGTATCAAACTTGGACTGGTCATCTATTTCACATATGGTAATATACATGTTTCAATGCCATTCTCCCAAATCATCCCACCCTCACCTTCTCCCAGAGTCCAAAAGTCTGTTCTATATATCTGTGTCTCTTTTGCTGTCTTGCATATAGGGTTGTCATTACCATCTTTCTAAATTCCATATATATGTGCTAATTGGTGTTTTTCTTTCTGACTTACTTTACTCTGTATAATAGGCTCCAGTTTCATCCACCTCATTAGAACTGACTCAAATGTGTTCTTTTTAATAGCTGAGTAATATTCCATTATGTATATGTACCACAACCTTCTTATCCATTCATCTGCTGATGGACATCTAGGTTGCTTCCATGTCCTAGCTATTGCAGGCAGTGCTGTGATGAACATTAGGGTACATGTGTCTCTTTCAATTCTGGTTTCCTCGGTGTGTATGCCCAGCAGTGGGATTGCTGGGTCGTATGGCAGTTTTATTTCCAGCTTTTTAAGGAATCTCCACACTGTTCTCCATAGTGGCTGTACTAGTTTACATTCCCATCAACAGTGTAAGAGTGTTCTGTTTTCTCCACACCCTCTCCAGCATTTATTGTTTGTAGACTTTTTGATGGCAGCCATTCTGACCAGTGTGAGACGGTACCTCATTGTGGTTTTGATTTGCATTTCTCTGATAATGAGTGATGTTGAGCATCTTCTCATGTGTTTGTTAGCCATCTGTATGTCTTCTTTAGAGAAATGTCTAGTTCTTTGGCCCATTTTTTGATTGCGTCATTTATTTTTCTGGTATTGAGCTGCATGAGCTGCTTGTATATTTTTGAGATTAATTCTTTGTCAGTTGCTTCATTTGCTATTATTTTCTCCCATTCTGAAGGTTGTCTTTTCCCCTTGCTTATAGTTTTCTTCACTGTGCAAAAGCTTTTAAGTTTAGTTAGGTCCCATTTGTTTATTTTTGCTTTTATTTCCATTACTCTAGGAGGTGGGTCATAGAGGATCTTGCTGTGATTTATATGTCAGAGAGTGCTTTGCCTATGTTTTCCTCTAGGAGTTTTATAGTTTCTGGTCTTACATTTAGATCTTTAATCCATTTTGAGTTTATTTTTGTGTAAGGTGTTAGAAAGTGTTCTAGTTTCATTTTTTTACAGGTGGTTGAACAGTTTTCCCAGCACCACTTGTTAAAGAGATTGTCTTCTCCATTGTATATTTTCCCCTCATTTATCAAAGATAAGGTGTCCATAGGTACGTGGATTTGTCTCTGGGCTTTCTATTTTGTTCCATTGATCTATATTTCTGTCTTTGTGCCAGTACCATACTGTCTTGATGACTGTGGCTTTGTAGTAGAGCCTGAAGTCAGGCAGGTTGATTCCTCCAGTTCCATTCTTCTTTCTCAAGATTGCTTTGTCTATTTGAGGTTTTTCTGTATTTCCATACAAATTGTGAAATTATTTGTTCTAGTTCTATGAAAAATACTGTTCGTAGCTTGATAGGGGTTGCATTGAATCTACAGATTGCTTTAGGTAGTATACTCATTTTCACTATATTGATTCTTCCAATCCATGGACACGGTATATTTCTCCATCTGTTTGTGTCCTCTTTGATTTCTTTCATCAGTGTTTTATAGTTTTCTATGTATAGGTCTTTTGTTTCTTTAGGTAGATATACTCCTAAGTATTGTATTCTTTTCATTGCAATGGTGAGTGGGATTGTTTCCTTAATTTCTCTTTCTGTTTTCTCATTGTTAGTGTATAGGAATGCAAGGGATTTTGGTGTATTAATTTTATATCCTAAAACTTTACTATATTCACTGATTAGCTCTAGTAATTTTCTGGTGGTGTCTTCAGGGTTTTCTATGTAGAGGATTATGTCATCTGCAAACAGAGTTTTACTTCTTTTCCAATCTGGATTCCTTTTATTTCTTTTTCTTCTCTGATTGCTATGGCTAAAACTTCCAAAACAATGTTGAATGGTAGTGGTGAGAGTGGGCACCCTTGTCTTATTCCTGACTTTAGGGGAAATGCTTTCTATTTTTCGCCTTTGAGGATAATGCTTGCTGTGGGTTTATCATATATGGCTTTTATTATGTTTAGGTATTCGTCGCTCAGTGGGTAAAGAGTCTGCCTGCAATGCAGGAGACATGGGTTCGATTCCTGGGTCAGGAAGATCCCCTGGAGAAGGAAATGGCAGCCCACTCCAGCATTCTTGCCGGGAGAATCCCATGGAGCCTGGCAGGCTAAAGTCTATGGGGTTGCAAGAGTCGGACACGACTGAGCAACTACGCACACAGCACACGTGTTCCTTCTATTCCTGCTTTCTGGAGAGTTTTTATCATAAATGGATGTTGAATTTTGTCAAAGGCTTTCTCTGTATCTATTGAGATAATAATACGGTTTCCATCTTTTAATTTGTTAATGTGGTGTATCACAATGATTGATTTGTGAATATTGAAGAATCCTTGCATCCCTGGGATAAAGCCCACTTGGTCATGATGGATAATATTTTTAAATATGTTGTTGGATTCTGTTTGCTAGAATTTTTTTTAAGGATTTTTGCATCTATGTTCATCAGTGATATTGACCTGTAGTTTTCTTTTTTTGTGGCATCTTTGTCTGGTTTTGGTATTAGGGTGATGGTGGCCTCACAGAATGAGTCTGGCAGTTTACCTTCCTCTGCAATTTTCTGGAAGAGTTTGAGTAGGATAGGTGTTAGCTCTTCTCTAAATTTTTGGTAGAATTTACCTGTGAAGCCATCTGGTCCTGGGCTTTTGTTTGCTGGAAGATTTCTGATTACAGTTTCAACTGTGCTTGTGATGGGTCTCTTAAGATTTTCTATTTCTTCCTGATTCAGTTTTGGAAGGTTACACTTTTCTAAGAATTTGTCCATTTCTTTCAAGTTGTCCATTTTATTGGCATATAGTTGCTGATAATAGTCTCTTATGATCCTTTGTATTTCTGTGTTGTCTGTTGTGATTTCTCCATTTTCATTTCTAATTTTTTTGATTTGATTCTTCTTCTTTTTTTCTTGAGTCTGGCTAATGGTTGTCTATTTTATTTATCTTCTCAAAGAACCAGCTTTTAGTTTTGTTGATTTTTGCTATAGTCTCCTTTGTTTCTTTTTCATTTATTTCTGCTCTAATTTTTATCATTTCTTTCCTTCTACTAACCCTGGGGTTCTTCATTTCTTCTTTTTCTAGTTGCTTTACGTGTAAAGTTAGATTACTTATTTGATTTTTCTTGTTTCTTGAGGTATGCTTGTATTGCTATGAATCTTCCACTTAGCACTGATTTTACTGAATTGCATAGGTTTTGGGTTGTAGTGTTTTCATTTTCATTAGTTTCTATGTGTATTTTGATTTCTTTTTTTATTTTTTCAGTGATTTGTTGGTTATTCAGAAGCATGTTGTTTAGCCTCCATATGTTTGTATTTTTAATAGTTTTTTTTCCTGTATTTGACATCTAATCCTACTGCACTGTGACCAGAAAAGATGCCTGAAACAATTTCAATTTTTTTGAATTTTCCAAGGCTAGATTTATGGCCCTGGATATGATCTAACCTGGAGAATTTTCTGTGTGCACTTGAGAAAAAGGTGAAATTCATTGTTTTGGGGAAATATCCTACAGATATCAATTAGGTCTAACCAGTCCATTGTATCATTTAAAGTTTGTGTTTCCTTGCTAATTTTCTGCTTGGTTGATCTATCCATAGGTGTGAGTGGGGTATTAAAGTCTCCCGCTATTACTGTGTTACTGTTAATTTCCCCTTTCATACTTGTTAGCATATGTGGAAGGAGGATTCTTAACCAGTGAACCACAGGGGAAATCCCTCACTGTGGTTTTAATTTGCTTTTTCCTAATGACTGATGAACATCTCACGAGCCATTCTTATATCTTCCTTAGTAAAGTGTCTATTTATATGTTTTGCACATTTTTTGATTGGGTTGTCTTCTCATTAATGAGCTGTAAGAATAATCCATATTTTCTGGATGTAAGTCCTTTAAGAGATGTGTGTTTTGAAAATAGATATTTTACTCTAGTATGTTGCTTACCTTTGTATTTTTAATGGTATCTTACAAACTTTTTGAAATTTGATGAGAAATATAAATTAATGCTACACTGCATTACCGAAGACTGGTAAATCCAAAAGCATGGTAACATACTGTGTTGTTACGGTTTCAATATACTCTCATATATTGGCAGTGGAAATGTAAATTGATACACATACTATGGAGGGCAATTGAGCAATTAATTGAAAACTATACATGTATATATCCTTTCAAGCTTTTTGTATTTGGTTCAGGGAATCTCTCCTATAGTTATATTTGCACATATGTAAAGTTATGAAATTGGAGAAGGAAATGGCAGCCCACTCCAGTATTCTTGCCTGGAGAATCCCATGGATGGAGGAGCCTGGTGGGCTGCTGTCCATGGGGTTGCACAGAGTCGGACAAGACTGAAGCAACTTAGCATGCATGCATGCGCTGGAGAAGGAAATGGCAACCCACTCCAGTATTCTTGCCTGGAGAGTCCCAGGGACGGAGGAGCCTCGTTGGATGCCATCTATGGGGTTGCACAGAGTCGGACACGACTGAAGTGACTTAGCAGCAGCAGCAGCGGCCAAGTTATGAAATACAAGGTTATTCACCATAGTATTATGTGTAAAGATGAAAGACCAGAAATGACTTATATGTTCATTAACAAAGATTCTGGCTAGTTCAATAAATAATAGTATATCCACCTATGTAGGCATGAAAAAGAGGGAAGATCTTTACTTTCTTATACAGAAAGACTTCCAAGATATAACTGAAACAAAAATAAAAACACCCACAATTGTAGTATTCTCCTCTTGGGGTAGGAAAAAAGGGCTGAAAAAGAAGATATATGTTACTTTGCTTTAACAAGCATACTATGTGCATGTTAAGTACCAAGCAGAATGCAAAAGCATTAGCAGAGAAGAGAGATTATTGTACATGCATTGGAGCTTAACAATTTTATATATTAAAATACTTAAAATGTTATCTAAAACTCACTAATTTTCTCTTTAAAAAAAGTTAAAAGTTTACTAAGTTAAAGATAAAAAAAAGAAAAAAAGAAACATACCTTTGTGGCTTCCATTATAATTTTGTTAATTTTCTCCTTATCTAATCCTTCCATTCCAGCTTTATTATCATTAAGTCCCATCCTGAGCAGAAGATCATCTTTGCAATTGTCACTCTTCTCCTTTGCACTGTCACTCTTCTCCTTTGTGCTATCCATGGTGTAAACTTGAAGAAAAGAAAAAAAGTTAATGGTAAAATGGCTCCTTTTAGTATCTGAAAAAGCATATCAAACAAACATGTTTTTCAAAGCATTCATGGAGGACAAGGGTTTGGGAGAGGGGTGTCATTTTAATAACTGACATAGAAATCAGCAAAACAAAAATGCCGTTTAAGATTTTTTTGGTTAGTGAGAAATAATTAGTACTCAGATTTAAAAATTATTATCCCAAGATTTATACTCTTGGAGGGAAGAAAGGGATTAACATTTCCTGCCAACTCTGTGCCAGTCACTACACATGGCTCTTTACACTTGAATTTCACACATCAGCCCTGGAAGGTAGATATTATTATCCCCAATATATAAGAGAAAAGAAACCTGAGTTATGGAACATGACTACTGAAAGAGATTTGATAAGTGACAACACTTGTGTTCAATGTTCATGTTTTTTCCCCTATTTAATGCACTGTATGGGCTTCCCTGGGGGCTCAGACAGTAAAGAATCCACCTGCAATGTGAGAGAACTGGGTTCAATCCCTGGGTTGGGAAGACCCCCTGGAGGAGAGCATGGCAACCCACTCCTGTATTCCTGCCTGGAGAATCCCCATGGACAGAGAAGCCTGGTGGGCTACAGTCCATGGGGTCGCAAAGAGTCAGACACAACTGAGCAAATATGATCACTGCACAGCACAATGCACTGTATAAGAAATAAATACAAAGTAACACTTTTCCTGCCAAATGTAAGTTCAATAGCATTTATTACCTACTGTTTGCAGAGTTCCATTCTTAAATCAGTGAAAACATACAGGAAAAAAAAAATCTATCCTCTTACAGAAAATCATTACACTTTGCAATGTCATGTCACTTCTGAGGTTAATTTCAAATAATAATTCTTTTGGATTTTAATATAACTCTTTATAATTTACCTTCACATACATTAGCTTTTAAAAACAATTAAAACAACCACAGAAAATAGCTTTGCACATTCTCATGTTAGGGAGAAAGAAATTTGAATTTCAGGAAGGTTAAATGAATTGCCCAGCATGGCTCTGATAAAAAGCAAAAGATCCAGGCTTTCACTCCCAGTCTTCTTACTCCAGATCTAAGGCAGCTGCCATGGCATCACAGCTGTCTCCAGCTTGGGGCTCTTCCACCCTCGTGGCTCAGACTGTAAAGAATCTGCCTGCAACGCAGGAGACTCGGGTTCGATCCCTGGGCTGGGACTCCAGTCCATGGGGTCGCAAAGAGTTGGACACGACTGAGCAGCTAACACTTTCACTTTTTCACATACTACAAATAAACAGCCAGGTGAATAGCTGCCATGAATCTACAACAAATTATGACCATAATTTCTCACTTGGATGATTTACAGCAGGCTCATTTATTCTACTCTGCCTTGAGGCCCTTCTCTCCCCATTGACCCCCTCCTCTCCCCTTCCCTTTTTTCTATTTTAACATCACCATACATAGTTACAAATGTTTTTCTTGTGATGAGAACTTTTAAGATCCATTCTCTTAGCAATTTTCAACAATACAATATCGTATGAACTATATTCACCATGGTGTGCATTACATTTGCATGATTTATTTTATAATTGAAAGCTTATACCTTTTGACTCCTTTTACCTATTTCCCCCACCCCCTACCTCTCACCCCTTCACTCCTCTCCCCGTCACTGCCACTGGCAGCCACCAATCTGTTCTCTGTGAGTTTTCTGTTTGCAGTTTTAGATTCCACATGTAAGTGAGATTATACAGTATTTTTCTCTGACTTATTACCCTTAGCATAATGCCCTTAAAAGGACCTCTTCTTGAGAGCTGCTTTCATTTTTAGTACCAGCAAAGAAAAAAGTAAATTATAAAATGAAATTTGAATACTGTGATTATTAGTGATGGTTCCACTAGGAAGAAAATAAAATAAACCTGTATATCACAATAGTTATCAAACTTTGCTACACATTACTTCCACCATAGAGATCTTAAATTGATGCCCAGCTTGTATGCTAGGTCAGAAAGTCTAGGAGTAGAAGTCAGATATAAATATATTTAAGAGATGCCCAGGTAATTCCAGGGTGCCATGAAGTATAGGAACCACTGGTAACTAAGGGAATACAGGTTGATTTTCTATTATCCTTTGCATATTCTTCTCTTCAGCTTTCACATTAAGCCTAATATTACCCTGTATTTTGCCTTATGCTTTAGCAATCCAATAGTCTCATTTTCTAGTAAAAGAGGTGAATGTAATTCATTCATAATTTTCCCAAACCAACACTACTGAAGAATGAAGAGGCTAAATGCAGACAGCCTACTTTTAAGCTGCCTTTTCCTTTAAATGGCGAAATGTATGAAAGGAACAGAAACAATTATTGAATGCCTACTACTACACATATAGTATGCTACTTAGTCCCCAAACTCTTGAGAATTGATTTTAGTCCTGAGTTGGTGAGAAGAACTGGGCTATCAGCAGTATTGGCCCCAGGCACAGTTGTGAGATGTGCAGTTTTCGGTTACCTTGCTGCCTTGATGCCCCATTGCTAGGCAACATATATCCAGTTTCATGGGCACAGATTTACTTTCATCTAATGCTAATGGCTTCCACGCTTACAGCCCTAGTCCAAATGCCTGCCTGACAACTCAAACTTAACAAGTCCGAAATGGGCCTTCTCTTCTGTCTCCATCCCCCAAACCAGCTCAGTTTTCAGCCTTCCTCATCTCAGCTGAGGGCAACTGTAATCCCTTCCAATCGATCACGCAAAACACCCTGCAGTCATTCTTGACTCTCCTCTTCCTCATGCACCCCGCATCCAAACTGTCAGGAAATCTTGAGGGCTCTACTTTCAAAGTGTACCAGGAATGTAACCTTCTCTCACTATTTTCACACTAGTCTGAACCACCATTATTTTTTTCCTGGATTATTGCAATAGCCTATTAAATTGTCTCTGTTGCTGCCCTTGCCCTCCTATCGTCAATTATCAACACAGTAGCCAAACTGATTCTCCTAACCACGAGTTAGGTCACATCACTCCTCTGCTAAAAACTGTATAAGAGCACCTCGTCTCACTCTAGAATAAACCCCAAATCTTTACAGAATCTGTATCACTCTTACCTGTTACCTGTCTACCTCCATACCTAATGTTCTCCCCTGCGTGCTCACTACTGTCCAACTTTGCTGTTCTCAAATCTGCGAGGCACTCTGACCTTGAGGCCTTCTGCATCACCTGTTCCTTTCTCCTGGAGGGTTCTTTGGCCAGTTCTTTGACTAAACTCCCTTATCTCCTTTAAGTCTTGGCTTAAATGTCACCTTCTTAATGAGGGCATACCCCGACTCCCTATTTAAAATTGTAGCCTGGTTATCCCTCCCACACCCTCTTTCCACTGCCCTACTGCTTTGCATAGATCACTTCCTAACATACTTCCTATGTTTGCTGTCTGCCTCCCCTATGAAAACGCTAAGTTCCATGAGGGCAGTGAACATTGTCCTCCCACTGATGCATACCAAATGCCTCACACAGTGCTTGGCACAGAGTAGGTGGTCAACAAATATTTATTAAATGGTTGAACTCGGTTTATATCATTTTCTTATTCTTTTATTCACATAGCAAGGTCACTTAATCACATTAAAAGATTGGGAGAAAAACTGCTTTTCTGAAGTTAATCATTTAAAAATACTATTAATTTTCCCTTACTTTAATATTATATACATAAGGACAATTCTATGAGCTTAATGACTTTTGATTTTATAAGCCTTATTTTCCTATGATATTTAATGGTTAAATTGGTTTACTAAAGCTTTTGAGACTTATAATGTAAGAATATTTCCAATTTACATATTAGAATGCTTGCCAGGCTCCATTAATATTAAAAAATTGTAGCTTGTATTTCTACCTTGGGAAATTAAGTTACTTTGTTAAATCTAATTTCTTTGATTAAATATTCTTCAATTCTATCTAAATCTAAGGAAAATCATTGAAGAAATATAAACAACATACTAAGTTTTAGTATACTTGGATCTTTATGTGTTACTTTTGGTACTATCATTTATGTTATTATGGTGATTCTTCTTTTGTTTTTAGTATTTCTCTTATTTTTAAATTTGTAAAATTTCTCATTAGTATTGGTTATCTGCATTTTTCCCATTAGTTCTCACTGAGTTTCTTTACTTAAAAATCCAAAATTGAAAGGGGGAGCTCCAAACAGATGTGATCACATACTATAACAAAGTATGATAATTTTCCATATTTTTCTGGGAAGTGAGATTTAGTATTATTTCAAACAGCATTGTGAGGGCAGCATATAATGGAAGTGCCTAGTATGGTGTCTGGTACATGACAAAAACTCAATCAATACTTATTATTACTAAAATTAAGACAAATATCCAAAGCTGTGAAAATCACCTGTCCTGCTTTTCTCTCTTTAAGATAAAGAGGCCCTAAAAGGGCAGAGGGTACACTGTTAAGCATCCTTGAAAAAAGCTGATGTTTACAGATCATACAGAATTTTGTTTGTTCTGCTTCCAAAGAAGTATTTGTCCTATGGATACTATGCATTCACATATAGTCACATATATAGTCCCAAGGCCTATGAATGGATATAACTGTGCCTTATAAACAAAAAGTTTCTTTGAGAAAGAAAACAGTCAAACATTTTTATTGTTTGATATTATAGAATACAGTCTGTTTCACTTCAGCTCAGAAGCACAAACAGTAAATGTACAGCTCAAAGGAAAGAACTCCGGGTCCTTGTGGTTTAGCATATTGCTTTAAAAGTACATTTTCTCTAAAAATACTAAAATTTTTCCAGTCTAATTCTACCACTGACTATTCAGGTTACCACTCAAAAAATGCAAAGCCAACTCTATTTTTGGTGATAGTAAGACTAGAAAATTAGTTTTCAGAAGGAATTCTAAGGAAGTTTTATGTGGTAAAGTTCCTACTCCTTATAAGAAAGCACACAAAACTATATAAACAATATCATAACTTAGCATATTGACCAAAGTCACCT